CTGCTCACAGCTAGAGGTGTGAAGAGACGCTCTTCACAGCGAGTTTGGCGTGTCAGACTCCCTCCACGAGCCTGCTCACAGCTAGAGGTGTGAAGAGACGCTGTTCACAGCGAGTTTGGCGTGTCAGACTCCCTCCATCAGCCTCCGCGCGACCCCGCCTTGCTGCTGCTGCTGCTCCGCCGTCCCGACCCGCCGCCGCCCGTCGGGCGGCGCGGAGGCGACGGAGAGGAGGAGCCTGTGGCACGCCAACGTGCGGGGTTATGAGCACGGCTTGAGCACGGCTTGAGGAATTGGGAATTGAGGAAGGGGGGGGGGGGGGGTTGGAGCATCCCGCGAATGCCAGGGGTGCGAGTACCGCGGAATACGGCGCTGACAGACTGGGTCGTGTCCTCTCTCGAGGGCCTTCTCTCTCCTACTCTCCGCCCCCATTCTCGCCGCACGCTCTACCCTCTCCCCCCCCCCCCCAAAAAAATCTCGGCCTCTCCCTCCCGAACCCGAACTCTCCCTTCCCACGCCAAAAGGGTCCATCTCCGCACTACTTTAGCCCGGCTCCACACCAGAGCGAGACGGGAGCAAAAATGCGTGCTCCCCGTGTGCCAAGCTTCCAAAGGGGGGAAAGGAGCCTCCAGGAGGAGGCCACCGAATGGTTGGCTTGGCGGAAGCCCCCCCCGGGCTGGAGGTGGAGCCTGTGGTTTTTGTAAGAAAGGAAGGGGGGGGGGGGGGGGGGGGATTTTTGGGGAAAGGCGGGGAAAAAAACCAAGGCCCCCGAAAAAAAGGCCGGGGAAGCCAAAATTAAGCCAGGGGAAAAAAGCGAAGGCCAAACACGGCAAGGGCCTTTTTTCCAAAACCCCCAAGGCCAAAAAGGGCCCCAAGGCCAAAAGGGGCCCCGGCCCCCTGGTGTGTCCCACCCCCCCCCCCCCCCCCTTATAAAGGAGCCCTCCCGCTTTTAAAACCCCCCCCCCCCGGGTTTCCAAAAGGTCCCAAAACCCGGACCCAAGGGGCCCCCCGACCCCAAAGAGGGGGGGGTCCCCCCCCCCCTCCCAAAAACCCCCCTTTTGTCCCCAAGGGGTCCGGGGAACCCCCAAAAAAGCCCCCCCCCCCTGGGCCCCC